TCGTCCTGTGACCACCTCAAATGGGCTTCGCCCAGTTGATTCACTCCTCTGCAAGTTATAGGAAAATTGGGCCACATCAAGCAGCTTAGCCCAGTCCCTTTGGTTAGCGCTAACAAAGTGCCGTAGATAGCACTCTAGTAACGCGTTTACCCTTTCCGTTTGCCCGTCGGTCTGGGGGTGGAAGCTTGTTGAGAAGTTAAGCTCGGTACCTAGGAGCTTGAAAAGTTCCGTCCAAAGTCGCCCAGTGAAACGTGGATCTCTATCACTCACAATGCTCCTTGGTAGTCCCCAGTGCTTGACCACATTCTTGAAAAATCCACGAGCGGCCTCCTCGGCAGTACAGTCCTTAGTGCATGGGATAAAGGTCCCATACTTTGAGAATCGATCCACCACGACCATAATTGACCCGTATCCCTCGGACTGTGGTAGGGCGCTAATGAAATCCAGCGTGATCGACTCCCATGGTCCTGTGGGTATCGGTAATGGCTCGAGTAGTCCCGCTGGATGCTTGTTTTCGACCTTGTCTTGTTGGCACACGAGACAGGTCCTCACATATGCTTCCACATCGTCCTTCAGTTGAGGCCAAAAGTAGTTGGACTCGAGTAAGGCTATTGTCCTTCGTTGCCCTGGGTGGCCTGCCCACTTGGTATCATGGCACTCCTTCATGAGATCTCGTCACAGTCCGTCCCACTTTGACACAACCAGACGTCGCCCTTTCGCGTAGAGTAGACCGTCCTCTACCCAAAATCGTTAGGTCTTGCCTTCCTTTGCGAGCCCCATGAGTGCCTTCGTGACGGGGTCCCATTCGAGCCCTTCTCGAATACGGGTAAGGACATCCCTGTCGGCTTTGCTAATGGCGGCAAGTTCAGCCTTGCGGCTTAGAGCATCGGCCACCACGTTAGCCTTTCCCGTCTTGTATTCCAACGAGTAGTCAAACTCAGCCAAAAAGTCCTGCCATCTGGCTTGCTTTGGGAAGAGTTTCTTCTGGGTCTGGAAGTAGCTAGTGGCTACGTTGTCTGTCTTTATGCTGAAGTGCGCACCTAGCAAGTAGTGGCGCCACACCCTCAAGCAATGGATGATGGTCGTCATCTCCTTTTCTTGCACCGTGTAGTGTCGCTCGGTGTCATTCAACTTTCGACTTTCGAACTCTATCGGGTGCCTCTCTTGCATCAATACTCCCCCAATAGCAAAGTCAGACGCGTCAGTGTGAACCTCAAATGGCTTAGTGAAGTCAGGTAATGCTAAGACAGGCTCCTGACTCACTGTGGTCTTGAGATCCTCAAATGCTCTTTGACACTCGTTGGTCCATTCCCACGGCTTCCCCTTCTTGAGCATGTCAGTAAGCGGTGCGGCCCTCGCCGAGTACCCTTGTATGAACCGCCGGTAATAGTTGACCAGCCCCAAGAAGGATCGTAACTCGGTAACTTTGGTGGGAGCTTCCCATTCCATGATCGCCTTCACCTTTGCCCCGTCCATCCGGATCCTTCCATGGCCTATGACATGTCCCAAGAAGTTCACCTCTTCTTGGGCGAAAATGCACTTGGACTCCTTAACATAAAGTTCATTCTCCCAGAGTACCTTGAATACAGTACGTAAGTGGTCAGCGTGCTCCTCGAGCGAGTTGCTATATATAACGATGTCATCCAAGTAGACCACCACGAACTGGTCCAAGTACGGATGGAATATCTCATTCATGAGTGTACAGAAAGTAGCTGGGGCATTCGTGAGCCCGAAGGGCATCACTAACCATTCATATGACCCATACCGCGTAATGCACGTGGTCTTGGGTTCGTCTCCCTCGGCGATGCGAACTTGGTAGTAACCCTTCTGTAAATCTATCTTGGTGTACACTCGGGCTCCCCCAAGTCGATCAAATAAGTCAGCAATCAAAGGGATGGGGTAGCGATTCTTGATAGTTACCTTGTTAAGTGCCCGGTAATCTACACACATGCGTAGTGTTCCATCATGCTTCTTCTGAAAGAGTACCGGTGCGCCATAGGGTGCCTTACTCGGCCGAATTTTCCCGGTCTCTGTGAGCTCCTTGAGCTGCCTCCTCAATTCCTCGAGCTCAGGGGGAGACATTCGGTAGGGGGACATGGCTAGTGGCTTGGTGCCTGGCTCCAACTCAATCTTGTGATCCACACCTCGCCTTGGTGGAAGTTTGCTTGGCAACTCAGCAGGCATGACGTCCTTGTTCTCCTCAAGAACTCCTCGGATAAGGGAGGACACCTTCGGGGATTCCTCCTCATGGTTGTCCTCCTTTAGTATTGCCAAGTAGGTTGGTTCTCCTCGCTTTGCCCCCTTGGCAAGCTGCATCGCGGAGAGTTGCTTGCTAGCACTCTTGTTGTCCCCTTCTATAGTTGGAACCATGCATGGAGAGCCCTTCTCCAATATACAAACAGTACTAAAGGATGACATTGGTATAACTGTTACCTGTCGTAAGAAGTCCATGCCGAGTACCACCTTGAAGTCGTCCATGGGTGCTATTGAGAAATTCACACGTCCTTGCCATGTCCCTAGGCACAGACTCACGTTGCTAGCAATCCCGTCGAGTCGACGAGCATTGGCATTGACAGTCTTTAGCCACCCAGTTATCTCGGACCAAGATAGTCCTAACCTTGCGGCTTCCTCCTTGGTAATGAAGTTGTGACTGGCTCCTATATCCACTAGAGCCTTTGTCGGAGTCCCGTTAATATGCGCTTCCACGTACATGAGCCCCTTGCTAGACGTGATGCGCTCGGGCTTGGTATTGAGGGCATTGAGGACTTGCAACGAACCTATCATGGTTGACTCTGTCTCCTTAGTCTCAGTCTCGGACTGCTCCATGATGGCTGAGAGGGACCCTAGCTTTGGACAATCCTTCATGGCATGTGGCCCTTGCACACGAAGCAGCCTCCCTTAGGGACAAACGCCTGTTTCTTCTCCTCGTAGCTGCGGCGTCCGAAGTTTCGATCCTCCTTGGCCGGTGCTCGTCGTTGGTCTCGAGAGTCTCGATTCTTGTGGTCCCTTTTGTCTCCCCCACCTTTGGCGGAGTACTTCTTGTCCTTCTTGGTGGCATCGGAAGATGATGATGGGCGGAACTCAATTAGTGACTCGGTTGCGGCAATCGCATCATCAACGGTCTTGACGCCCCGGCGTTGTAACTCTTGTTTCGCCCAATGTTGGAGTTCATCCACAAAGAAGAAGAGCGAGTCGTCCTCGGTCATATTGGGAACCTGGAGCAAAAGGGTGGTGAATTCTTTGACATAGTCGCGTATGGTCCCTTTTTGCTTTAGCTCCCGTAATTTTCGTCGGGCCTCATAGACAACATTCTCCGGATAGAATTGTCGTTTAAGTTCTTTGACAAAGTCCTCCCATGTGTCTATCCGGCACGTGCCTCGCTCGATGTCACCGTGCTTCCTGCGCCACCATAACATAGCAGTATCGGAAAGATAAAGGGAAGCAGTCTTTACCTTGGTAGCTTCATCCGTGAGACTTATGGCCTCGAAATATTGTTGCATCCTCCATAAGAAGTTGTCAACTTCTTTGGCGTCCCTTACGCCATTGTAGCCTGTCGGCCTCGGACACTCCACCCTTGGTGCGGGCGTGGAGTTGCTAGCCTCCCCACTAGCAATCGCCTTCTTGCAAACAGTGAGATCCTCACGCATCCCCTCGATGCTTGCTTGGAGATCCTTCACAAGGTCCTCCAGGTGATCCAAGCGATCCTCCGTGGAGCTTTGTGCATCGAGCCCCTCTTGGACAACACCTTTGACGGACTCGATTTCCTCCAAGACGTGTGTCTCCAATGTTTTGAAGGTGAACTCGACCCTTTCGAGTTTCTCGGACATTTCTCCAACGACTTGGTCTAACGGCGAGACCTCCGCACGAGCTCGGCTTTGGTCCCGACGTTTCTTGTCCTTGGTCCCGGTGGTGTGTTCCCTCCCTCGGGTTTGCTCCTCGCTTACACCCGAACCGGACGCATTATGTTCCTTCTCCCCTGCCATACTTACACGGTACCGAACATTGCTCTGATACCACTTGTCACGCCCTTGTTTCTCGAACTTGGTTGCGTGCGGCCTTAGCCCCTCGTGCGCCCTTCGCAACTAGCTAAGTCAGCCTCACCTCACTCGGGATCGTGCTCGGTGTGTGCAAGTGCTTTGGCTAGAGAAAGCGAGAAAGAGAACTTGAAGGGAAAATGCTTCTATTACTCAAACTCTAGTACAAGTGAGCTCTCAAAGCTTGGATGGATTGCAAATGAGGGGGTCTCCTCTATTTATAGGCACCACCTCTTCTAAGGAACTCTCTAGATCTTACAAGGGTCTTGGTCTTTCTAGACCCTTCTACAAAAGTCTCCATCTATCTTCACATGTCCTAGAACCTTCTACACAACTCAAGATGATTCTTGCCCTTTCTACAAGTCTCTACAAGGTTCTAGGATGTTCTTGTCCCTACTACAAATATCTACATAATTCTGGAGCCTTCTAGAAGCTTCCAGTCAAGTTAGGCCTTTCTAAAGGCTTCCATATACCAATAACTAAGCTTAGTGCGAAAAAAAGACGGGCAAGACTCGTTCTTGCTCATGTGCGTTCGGGGAGTGATGCGGGGCGTTACAACTAGCTCATGCGCAATAACGTTTTTATGCTGATACTCCTGCCAAGAACCAAGGTAACTTGGCAAAGAGAGACGAAATCATTTAGCAAAAGCTTGTCTATCGGGTATGAGATTGATAACACATTTATAAGGCAAATTACACAGGGAAATCGACTAAATTGATGGTTAAATCTTGGGTAGTGTTTGAAACGAGCACCAGTAGCATCATTTTTTCTCTAAGAAAAGCACGTTATTGCCCCAAGCCTCACCAATGAAGTTACAAATCTGTTGGAAAAACAGCTGGAAAACCATCTGTTCCAAAACCTCTACGAGAGCTCGTAGAGAAAATTACATGTAGCAATCCAGTAAATCTGGCGAGTTTCAATGGACACTACTAGGGTAGGAGGACGATGCAGAAGCAATCGCCCTGCTCAATGTCGGTGAGAGACCAATTCATCACATCGAAAACCAAGTTCAGTGTCCAGTTCAATGAGCATAAAACCGTGCAACTTCATAGTTGTCACTGCTATGCCGAATCCTTGACTAGTTCTCCCCCTTCTATAGAGGTGACAACTTCGATGCTTGGGACTTGATCCAGACGCAATTGCAGAACCTAAGCTGCTCAAAGACAGGGGGGGCTGTGCTTACGCGGGCGAGAGGGGCATAAGTCCAATATAACTGGTAATGATCTCTGGCTAAAAGCAGAAAATTTTAACCTGACAAACTGCACTGTTAGCTGGGACCTGGGAGATGTCTTGAGTGCGAGTACACAAAAATTAATAGCTCTACTTGGTACAAATATAATACTTTTCAGGTACATGGAGCAACCATTGTGCCAACACTGGAGACTTTACCAGCAGGATTTGATTCATTTGAACGAGGTTGGTAAATCTGCACTCCCCATAAACTATTCCGATGTAAAAATAAATAATACACAACAATCACTCGACTCGCCTCACCAGTCATCAATCTTGTCTGAAGATTCAGAAAAATCAATTATCTGCATCCCTCTTCCAGCAACAGCAATTTGATATTGATTCCTGCACAAGACAAAAGTAAGAGTTCAGACACAATAATATATAACCTAACCTGATCATTCTATCATATAAACAATCACCTGCCACAAGCCCTAGCAGATAACGACTCTGGCTCTGGAACACTAACTATTAAATATGAATGCTCGACTAGTTTGCTCTGCTGAAGATGCCAGCATCTGACCCGCTGATCAAGTCCAGTGGAAAACACCCATGATCCGTCTGTCCAGACACCTTCATAAAATAAAGGCTGATGATGCAACACTGATCAAACTTATTGGCATGTTCATATGCATTTTCAAATATTAGCTTCTATTCCATAAAGTGGTTCAAAAATGGATATATAGTTTTCAAGGAACACAAGTATGTTAATATTTAGCAATCGAATAGCAGATGCAATCTTTTTGCAAATCTACCAGAGAAGTGTATTCTTGTACTGTAAACTAAAACAATTATATGGCGATACGCTTAACTCAACAATCCAAGATGGGTGCTAGAAGAAGCAGAATTCTTTTAGGGGGAAAGACGGGCACTGAATCAAACAATGAAAGCCTGACATGTCCCCCACTAAAACGGTGGAGATAGATAGAGAATTATTATTACACAGCTTTACCTTTGACAGAAGAGCTATGTGCAGAGGGTAATTTTTCATGATTTAAGAATCTAATCTCATATTTCTTGCTCCGATATTGAAAATTGATGTCCTTTCCATATTCAGGTACAGAGACAATATGAGTGATCTCTGTGCTCAAAATTCCATCATTTAAATTTTTTGATTTACGTGATAATTCAACCATGAGATGATTAAGTGCTTGATCATCACCCCCACTAACTACGGTGTACACTTGACAACTGTCAGTATTTTGCCCACTAATAATCTCTGAAACATGGAGACAGTTGACACCAGATTGGTGAATATTTTGCAGAAGGCATAGAGGCTGTATTTCACATATTTCCACTGACGATTTATCAGTCTTGCTTTCTAACTCCAGGGGAGCCATATGTGTGGATTGGGAACAACCCATCTTGCTGTCTTCAAAATCACATGGCATGAAAGAGGTTCCCTGTGTAACACAGCTGATGCTTGTGGTCTTCTCTTTGGTTTTCAAATTGACCAGACTGTTGTCTTGTCTTTTCTTTGATGAGTCTCTGCTTAAGGATCGCCACTGTCTACCACCTTGACTTCCTCTCCCAGTGCGTGGTCGTTTTTGACAATCAAAAAGCTTTTCAACATTACAAACTGAAACCCGCTGCATAAAAGCTTCAACACTGTCAGTTAGGTCCCAAAAAGCAACACTCCCATCAGTAGACCCACTAATCACAATATAAACATTTCCACCACGGATGTTTTCTGCGAAAAAAAAAAAAATACGGACATAAGATGAATCAAATTTATAGAAGGCACTGGTGCTAGACAGAAACATAAGAGCAACAGCCATAAACTTATAATAATGTAATTACATAAATTTACCATTACAAGCATCGTAAGCTTTTAGTTGGGAGTTAGGGCATTCTACAAAAGACAAAACCATACCCAAAAACCAAAACACTGATAATTTTATTTAAAGTATTACAAACCTATGAATAAGCTTCCTACAACACATAAGATAGATTAAATCAAACCCTGATAAGCTTCAGACTTCCAAAACTACTAACAACCAATAAGAAAAACTTGAAAACCCACCAATACCTCAATAGAATAAGCTGATTTCCCAGCATTTCACCATTAATTTTGACTATCGACAAAACCATCTTAACTTTTGAAGAGACAAACTTAGAAATAATTTGGCTTATTGCAATAAAACTAGCACATCCGCATGAAAGGAAGGGGTTATGAGGTGCAGAAGAGCTCTGGCCAGTAATGACTGCCACAGAATACAAACCTTTACAAGGCTCAGAGAGGGGAAATATGACATGCTGCAATGACAAAACAGGTGCCGCTAAAGGAACCAGTAAGGCGACATCATACCTGCCATAAGATAAAAGGGAAAGAAGCATGTGGAATGTAGCAAGAGAATAAGAAATCAGAGAAAAGATTATCATAGAAATTGATAGGATTAAATGTAAATACCACAAGCGATAGGGTAAAATTAACGCCCGTAACATAAGCGTAGCATCTGAACATGCGACAGTAACAAAGCAGACAGATAGCCTGGAAGGTAAACAAAATAGAAGGTTTGTTTCAGTTTTTCTGTTTTTGCCTGAGATTAGTTAGACTTTAACCAAATACAGGATCGAGAAAGCAAATATTAGGGATCTCTTCTCACCTGGAACCAAAATATCTAACAAGAAAAGCTGTGACTGCAAGATACCTCCAGTCATCTTCATGTTTATCTTTGATCAAGTTTGCCATTCCACTCTCGGAAATATTTCTGGCATCATTATTTATATTAGATACATTTTCAGCAACACCAACTATCTTCTCCATATTATTTTTGGGAGTATCATGCGTAATTGAATATTTAGCAGGCATGTCAGTGGAAAGCCACTGGAATGTCATTGATGAGGACAAACTTGACAAAAAAGGGTCATCAACGCCTTCTGATTTGTCCTGATGATTGATTAGGAAGTCATTTTTGGAGTCCAGCCTCTTATTTTTTAATATCCAAGAAGTTAAGACACGCTTTGCACCCACTGATATCAGTAATGTTGGTTTATCTTTGTTCTCAACAGCGTCCAGTTCAATCCTCCCATCAGATACCTCACCTATATCTGATGAAATTGTGTGTACTTTTGACACACAACATAATGATCTTACCGCGGATCCTCCAACATGCTCTCCAAGAAGTTTTGACATGGCCCAATTTTCAATGCCTGGAGAGTACCTAAATCAAACAGACAGGCTAATGTTAATAAAGCATTCAAGCAAGTTCTACAGACGGCATACAACAATGGTCTTACCAAGTCAACCTCACAGTTCCATCCTCACATCCAGTTGCAATCCAACTTGATTTAGAAAATAAGGTACACTTAAAATTATCTCCAACAAACACATCATCAGGGATAAAGCACAAGGAATGTATCTCTCTACCATGGAACTGCATGTGCAAATTTTGAGGGTACACCTTCCCATCTCTATTATGAATCCAGTGTCTATGTATATGTATCAATTCATCCTGTAACAATTGGTCATATTTGTTAGGTATTTCAGAGAAAATTGTGATAACAAAAATCAATCATCTAAGGAAAAATAAGCCTATTACCTAATAAAGACACGGATGGAAAAGCTTACAAATGTGCCAACATTAAGAGCATGTTTGGAAAATATTGATTTTAAGGATTTCAGCTGTTTTTCAGAATAAAGAAAAATTGTTCAGAATTTCAGCTGTATGTTTGGTATAATATCTGAAATTTGTAATTTTTTTCTTAAAAAATAAGCTGATGAGTCTGAAAATGTGTAGCTTATAATTAATTCTCCTTCAATTGTTGAGTATTTATTAGATTAGTTGTATCTAACTATTGACCTAGTTTCTAGAATATATTTGTTTATCTTTTCTGGGTTTAATCATTTCTCCCTATTTATTGAATGTCAGAATCTATATCTTTATCCCCTATAAATAAGAGAACACAAGAGAAAAAAGACAGGTTCTTAAAAACATCTATTTATTTTCCTATCATCTATTTCAAGTTGGTATCAAAGCGGGTTCGTCCCGATCTGCCTGTCTCTCCATTTTCTCCAACGTCCACCGTCATCGTCCCCCCGCGCCGTTTCACTCACCGTACTTGGGTTAGGATCGCCTCGAAGAGCATGACCCAAATTCGGTGGTCGCTTCAGCCATCTCTGTTAGACACGCCGCCACGCACCGCCTTCGTCTGCTGCTTCCTCCGCGCGTGTGGTTCACGCACCACCTTCTCGGTGGCGGTTTTGCTCCAGACCACCGCCATCTGGCTTGCCTCGTCGTCCTGAAGTCGGATCTACCCTTTGTTTTATGTTCCAAAAGTTTGGTAAAGCCTTTCATATACACTGTCACGGAATGTTAGTTGTTCTATGTTCAAGCAAAGCGACACTATTTCTTGGTACTCTCTCATTGCTCTCTGTCGTCTCTCTCCAAACATCCTGCTCGATATTTTTTTCTTAAGAGTTCTCTCTTGTTTCCTGAATAAAAATGTCAGGACCTACAATATCTGTATCTTTTTCTGAGACTCCTACTATAACAACATAAAAATTAAATAGAAAAAATTACTTGTCTTGGACCTCCTCTGTTGAACTCTAGTTTCTAGGACAAGGGGTTCATGATCATCTAAAAGATGACGGAAGTACAACACCAGCAGACTAGGTTCCTCAATGGAAGAAACTTGATTATCAACTTTGTGCTCTATTATGGCAATCAGTTGAACCAAAATATTTTGAGCACTCTCCGATCCTTCAAGACATGTAATTCCTTCTGGAAAAAGGCCCAAAATATCTTTGTTAATGATATTCAATGGCTCTATGATTCTGCTAATAGACTAGCCTCCCTTAAGTAAGAGGATAATAATATGATGTCCTTTGTTACTGAAGCTCAATCAGCAGTTGAATAATTGAAAATGTTCCTTGAGGCATATTCATTAGAGGAGAAAAAGACGAAGATAGATAAATTCTATATGGTTATGATTCTTAGGGCTATGAATCCAGAATTTAATCATGTTAGAGATCAAATTTTAACTGGGCAAGAAGTTCCTTCTATGAAGAGTTTGATCACAAGGCTACTTCGTGTTCCATCTATCAAAGGTAAAAATAGTCAAGAATTTGATGAGTCTTCCGCCATGATTTCTGCTCGTGGAAGAGGTAATCACAGCAATAGAGGACGTGGTGGTAAAGGATGTCATCAGTGCAGTCATTGCAAAAGAATGGGTCATACTAAGGAAAATTGTTTTGCTCTGCATGGCTATCCTAATAAGACAGTCAACACTTCAAAATCTGAAGTTGTTGAGCCCTAGTTCTCTCATGAAGAGTATCAAGAATATTTAAGGATGAAATCAACCAGTCTGACTCATGCATTTACAACTCCAAATTCGTCAACCTCTTGCATTTCACAATTTGTGGAAAATCAAAATCCGTGAATTATTGACTCAGGTGTTTTTGGCAACATGTCTGGTAATACCTCTTTATTCTCCTCTCTATCATTTTCTAAAATCTCCCATCTCATATCTTTAGCTAATAGATCTAAAGTAGCCTCTAAAGGGATTGGTCAAGTATCCATCTCTCCTTTAAACTTACAAAATGTTCTTTGTGTTCCTTCTTTTCCTTTTAGTCTTGTTTCCGTAAGCCAATTAGCCAAATCATTGAATTGCTCAATAACCTTTAATTCCAATTATTTTGTTATACAGGAACGTGGTACAGGTCAACTGATTGGAGAAGGACATGAATCTGGAGGCTTATACTACCTTGGGACTAATTCATTTGTATCTTGTGTTGCATCCTTATCCCCAAAACTGTTACATGAGCGATTAGGGCACCTCATTTGGCAAAACTGAAAAAAATGGTTCCTGAACTTCAGAACCTTCAAACTCTTGAATGTGAATCATGTCAACTACGGAAACATACCAGGTCATCTTTTCCAAATCATTCTGAATCTAGATGTGATTCTGCTTTTAGTATTGTTCATTAAGATATATGGGGACCTAGTCATGTTTCATCTTTTGGCTTTAGATATTTTGTTACTTCTATTGATGGGTTTTCTATATGTACTTGGATTTATCTAATGAAAGATCGCTCAGAACTATTGCCTATCTTTAAGTCTTTCCTTAATGAAATCAAAACTCAATTTGGAAAAGTAATCAAAGTTTTACAAAGTGATAATGCTAAAGAATATTTTTCTAATGATTTCTCTGACGTCCTAAGTTCTCAAGGCATTTTACACCAGTCCACTTGTCCTCACACACCACAACAAAATGGTATTGCAGAACAGAAAAATAGACATTTGGTTGAAACTGTTCATACTTTATTGTTTGGTGCCAATATGCCTATTCATCATTTGGGAGATGCTATTCTAAGTGCATGTTTTCTCATTAATAGAATGTCATCTTCTTCTCTTGACAATAAAGTTCCACTCTATTCTATTCCCAAAGGAACCACTCTTTCATGTTTTTCCTCGGGTATTTAGATGTATTTGTTTTGTTCAAGATATGTCTCTAGGCTTAGATAAACTCTCAGCTAGATCTATTAAATGTGTCTTTTTGGGATATTCTCGTCTTCAAAAAGGATATCGGTGTTATTCTCCTGAAACCAAGAGGTACTACATGTCTGCTAATGTCACTTTTTTTGAATCATCCCCCTTTTTCCCTTCTTCTGTGTGGGATATTGATTCTGTCCAACATGTTCTTTCCATCCCTTTAGTTGAGTCATTTGTACCTCCTATTTCTGGCACCCTAAATCTCAACCAAAATACTCCAGAATCATCATCACAACCTCTCATCACCTATCAACATAGGAACTAGGTGAGCAATCACATTCCCCAAGATAAGCTGCCCATAACAGGTCCTTCTCAATCAACTTTTAATACAACGGCTCCTGATAACGATGACTCCAGTTGGCCTATTGTCATTGACAAAGGTACTCGTTCTACTCGTAATCCTCATTCCCTTTACAATTTTCTAAGCTATCATAGATTGTCTCCTTCCTATTTTTCTTTTATTTCTTCTGTATCCTCTATTACGATCCCTAAAAATATGGCAGAAGCACTTGATCATCATCAATGGCGACAAGCCATGATTTTTGAAATGCAGGCTCTTGATCACAAAAACATGGGAGTTGGTTCCTCTCCCTTCGGGGAAGAAAACAGTTGGTTGTCATTGGATCTATGTTATTAAAGTTGGGCCTAATGGTCAAGTTAATCATCTTAAAGCCAGGTTAGTGGCTAAAGGGTACACTTAGATATATGGACTTGATTATTGTGATCCTTTTTCTCCTAAGCATTGTCCGCCTGTTCCTTGCCATGACTGTCATTCGTCATTTACCTTTTCATCAATTGGATATTAAAAATGTTTTATTGCACAGTGACTTAGAAGAAATTTACATGGAGCAACCTCCTGGATTTGTTGCTCAAGGGGAGTCTAGTTTGGTTTGTAAATTACGTCAATCTCTCTATGGCCTAAAACAGTCTCCATGTGCTTGGTTTGGAAAATTCAGCTCTATTGTTCAAGCTTTTGGATTAAAACGAAGCGAAACAGATCATTCAGTGTTTTATTGTCACACTGCCCCTGGCAAACATGTTTATTTAATTGTGTACGTTGATGATTTTGTCATCACAGGGAATGATGCTGCTAGAATATCTCAGCTAAAAGAGCACTTGTGTAATCATTTTCAGACCAAGGATGTTGAAAATCTAAAATATTTCTTAGGTATTGAAGTGGCTCAATCAAGAGAAGGTGTTATCATTTCTCAAAAGAAATATGTTCTAGATATTCTAAAAGAGACAGGTATGATTGATTGCAAACCTGTTGACAACCCTATGGATCCAAATTTAAAATTAATGATAGGACAAGGTAAAGCTTTCTCTGACCCAAAAAGATATAGAAGACTGGTTGGGAAACTTATCTATCTGATTATTACTATACCTGATTTGTCGTTTGCAGTTTGTGTTGTCATCCAATTTATGCAAGCCCCTTGTATTGATCAGTGGAATGCTATCATTCAAATCCTAAGATAAATTAAAAGAGCTCCAGGACAAGGTTTGTTATATGAAGATAAGGGAAATACCCAAATTTTTGGGTACTGTGATGCTGACTAGGCTGGATCTCCTATTGAGAGGTGATCCACTATAGGCTACTGTGTATTCCTTAGAAGTAATATCATTTCATGGAAAAGAAAAAAGTAATTGCCCGATCCTTTACTGAAGCTGAATATAAGGCAATAGCGTCTCTCACTTGTGAACTTGTATGGGTAAAATAGTTCTTGCAAGAACTGAACTTTTGTGAGATTCAACCTATGAAGATGTATTGTGATAATCAAACTGCTCTTCACATTGCTTACAACCTAGTATTTCATAACAGAACTAAACATATTGAGATTGACTGTCACTTTGTTTGAGAGAAGTTGTTGTCTAAAGAAATTTGTGCTGAGTTTGTTGGTTCCAATGATCAGCTTGCAGACGCATTAACAAAATCTTTGAGAGAGCCTCAAATGGAATTCATTTGTTCCAAGCTTGGTACATACAATTTGTATGCTCCAGCTTGAGGGGGAGTGTTAAGTATTTATTAGATTAATTGTATCTAACTATTGACCTAGTTTCTAGAATGTATATGTTTATCTTCTCTAGATTTAATCATTTCCCCCTATTTATTGTATCTCAAAATTTGTATCTTTATCCCCTATAAATAAGAGAACACAAGAGAAAAGGATAGACTCTCAGAATCATCTTTTTATTTTCCTATCATCTATTTCAAGTAATATTATACATGTTCTTTTTTGTAAAAGTTAATATCTTTGTTACCTCCAAACTTATTCAAGAAAAAACTAATTTTAATTACAATTAATTAATAAAATAATTTAATTTCACATATATCCCAAACTATTGAAAAGTCACTTCGATTCGGTCACCCTTAACCCACTTTAGTTGCAACCTCTTTGGGAATTTTCTTAATTGCAACCTCATGGATGATGACTAATGATATGGCTAAAATAGAATATATAACTAAGGTTCAAACCAAACCACAACTTACAAGCTAATTTTGCAAGATTGAGTTAAGCCGAAGCCAACATTCCAAACCACCTTAATTTTGGGCACTCCTACCCACATTAGTTGCAATCTCAAGGGTGGCAGTGTAGTCTCACATTGACTAGTTATATGGATCAAACAAAGTATCTAAGTAGGGAGCAAGCTTAACCTTGTAAGTCATTTTTGTAACATTTATTAGGCCCAAAATGTCATTCCAAGACAAACACACCCTTATATGCTATAGTTACAGCACTAAATTTAAACTCTAAATTTAGTACTTTAACTTTTCATACACCTATGTAGATGAAGCAACATAGTGAAGCTAAACAAGATGATCAAAAGTTCCTTTTAGATACCCTTTGACATGATTGGGAATTTTTTGAAATCTAAAGAGTGCATATACAAGCCCAGTTCATTAAATGATCTCAAATAGAAAGAAACACTAATGATTTTAACTACTTTGAGCTTGAGCAGCAAGATCCAATAGCTAATGAGCAGGCGTAAATGCACTTTAGGACCGATAAAACTTAAGGAAACGCAAAAATGCATCCCAAATTTTTGATAATTCAAAGAGGAAGTAAACCTTGACAAAAGCAAAGCAGTTCTTTATCTCTGGTATATCACCTAGATAATAGGAATGAGGACGTCGCCATCCACCACAGGGAATGTTCACCACCTGTTCATACCATTCATTATCATCCAATCTATAACAGGTGCTAATGGTATGCAGTAACAGACAAATGAATATAAATATTAACTAATCAGAGTAAAGAGAAAAGATTGTCAAAGTACCTTATTCTCATTCACCAAGTTCCAAACTATGAAATCCACCGAAGCAAAACCAGCTGCATAGCTACTTGGCAATCTATGACCAGACTTGTTATCCACAGAAACATACTCAATCAAAGACAATTCTTTCACTTGTTTCATTCCCGTAAATTGCAAATTATGCATTTCTTTATCATATTCCAGATAGCATATACAACCATCAGCTCCAGTCTGAACAAGAATAAAAATCAACAATTGGAATCAAGGTAGATCATAATCATATCTGCACTTGCAGATTAGAATATGAAGAGTGCACTCAATGTTATGTTTGGTAAGTAGTTTAAACGTGGATCACCAGCCACCACATCTAGAAGGGGGAAAAGTTGAACATACTGAGCATATCTCTATCTGGTTATAACCAAGCTTAGTCACAGAAACACTGGAGACACTTGAAATCCCATGAACTCCTTTGAAATTATTTATTGGAGGTATCTTCATTTCTTGTGCAGCAGTTATGTTCAAAACCAGATTCTTTAGCAAAGGGAACAGAATCATATTACCCCGTACATCTCCACATGCTAAGACCTGCCATTTAGATTCACGATAAATTTCCACTTTTGAATGGTAAACTAGTATATATTCATATCATAATTTAAAATTCAAAATGAAAACATCCCATGCCTCTGTTCCACATGATTAATTATTGAAGATCTCATATTAAGGTCCATTTCCACATAAAAGATTTTTTTAAAAAGAAATGCTATTTTAATTGCATTATAAAGTCAGACTCCATCGATTATCTCATAGTCTTCCACGGAGAATCATTAAGCAACAATGAACACATTAAAATTTAATCTACTAACCCGCAATAAGAATAAACTGTTTAAAAGTAGAATATGGATAGATGGATTTGGATCCTTTCAAGCTAGCAAGTTCATGAAATTGTCAGGTTATGAGAGAGAGAGAGAGAGAGAGAGAGAGCCACAAGCAAAGTTAATGAACACTACACAAGTAATGGTGGTCCATCTATAATTATTCTGTCTTTCTCATAACATGACCAAAATAAACATAGAAGATCCTAATCCAAGGATAGAAGAATACCTCTCCCTCCATGCATGCATCCAAACACATTACCCGCATTCCATAATTCGATACGAACTCTGCTATATGTGATAATTTGTTACTCCTCATGGAGCTCTGAAGATCAGAGTGTGGGTCAGGCAATCTCCAGAGTTTCAATGTTCCTCTAGGATCAGCTGTGAAGATATACCTACACAATTGTGTCATCAGAGAATGATAATATCTTATTATATTAAAAAAAAAAAAAATGTTTAAGAAAAAGAGTGGGGCAAACTAGAGAAGAGTGTAATATATTAGCATCTCCCATTTTGTAGTGCTACGTGATATATGGTAAGATGAAACTATAAGATGAATATGCTTAACACAGTATGAATTGTATGATCTTATGACCTGTCAACCAAAGAGAGACATAACTTGAACTACATTAGCAATAAGTGTAGTTCTTTTCCCTGATTTAAGATTCATAATGGTGTGGAGTATATTTTTTCTTTAATTACACTCAATTTAATAACAAGGTCAGGACACTCATCAGGGGAAGCATAGATTCACACCTTATCAACAGGGTATTATGTATCTATGCATGATTTAAGAAATTCATTACCTACATCCCAGAGATTTACACCAATAAGTACCCAAGAGCTGTCTCTCCATTTCAGCTGGCCAAGTAAAGCACAATCTAACTGTAGGAGTATGATAATCCTTGGCAACTTCAATAATTGTCATATTCCCTTTACCATCTCCAATGGCAATCCAATCCTCAGCACCACAGTCATGTTCATCAGAGTCCTTGGACAATAAATCCATACAGATAATAGGTGCCCCATTGCTGACATGGACAAGTTGATTCCACTGAGTACCTCCAGTATCACATAATTTAGCATGATAGAGATAACCATGATTGGTAGCAACATAAAGAGAATCCTGACAGGAAAAGCGTAAACATCGAACATATTCACTCTTGCTACAAGAAAAAAGGAGACAAAAGGCCAGTCAACATTGAAATCAGTAAACACAACAAAGTATGGACAAACACATATAAAAATCAGTTTCAAATTTAGTAAAGTTTGTAGCAATCCCAAGTGAGTTCATTATATTTTAGTAACCATACATACCTGTCCATATATCCAACATGCTCTGACACATTAGGGATGCGAATGGGAAACAACTCTGTCCTACTAGGGGATCCCTGTACTGCTTGCAAAGCCCTGGGCAGAGACACATGAGGTCGATGTACTTTAATGGCAGAGTCAAACCCAGCAGTTATAAGCAGTGATGAATTTGGGTCATACAAACATCTCCATATACCTCTTCCACTGTATACAGCAAAGAATGCAAACATTGTGTTATGCCTCTAATTCCTCTTATGAGTGAAATTGTGAGAATCTTAAAGACATAGATCTACTGTCATAAAACCTAACAGAGAAAACAACTTAAGTAGTACTCAGGTTATGACTCTTGTGAAGCTGAAGAATGCTAGAATTGAAAAATACAAGACAAACAAAAATTCCTTGTACAACACTATCGCACATCCTATTAATTTGAATTTTAGAAAGGACAGAATTGAAACACCCATATGTAGGAAAATCCAAATTCAGGCAATGAAAATCCTTGAGATCATTTAAACCTCGTAAAAATATTTATCAACCAAAAAAAAAAAAAACAATTTTTAAAAATAAAGTGAAGCAAGGGAAATTAATAACAACTAGCAAGTGATATTTTCTAAGTCAGGTCATTTAAGGGTTAATACAAGATCAACAACTTTAATCACAATTTCAAAGGGACTCAACATAACATACTACCGTTGGTTGTTTCCTGTAGATACTCAGTTCACAGAATGTCAAGAGTCCAAATAATCTTCAATGCTTATTTCATTGGGGCCACAATAAACTCCAAATATTAGCAATTAATTCTTTAACTCAACAATCAAGGATTCATGTTCATAACTTACATGTGCTCCTTAATGACTTGCAGTTGTTTACCATCAACTCCCCATATGCGACATGTACAATCTTCACTCACAGTGACAATCAACTGCAAAAATTAAAAAAAAAATAATAATATAATTGGAAATCTAGCAGACAATAAACACAGTAGCAGTAAAATCTTTACACTGTCAAGTCAAATACATAAAAAAACGTGTTGATTGTGTCTAAATAAATTTAGGTACTAAAAGAGGGTTTAGTTGTAGTTTGTAAATATAATCGAAGACAAGTATACCACATTATGACGGATGACATTATCATTTAAAGGATATAGTGTTAATATTTATGAAACAGTCACTAGAAAATTAAAAATACATTAATAAGTAAAATAGCTCATAAAAATTGTTTCAATAAATGGAATTTATCAGTTCGTAAAAATTATCAGAGAGGTGAAAATAATTGATTATGTCAAAATAACTCTCTTCTTAGAGGCAAAACATCACAAAATGATAATTTAACAAGTAAAATGATCAACAAACATTAAGCTAGTAACACACAAACATCTTTAGAAATATTATTACGCATTTCAATTTTTATGTATTTACTGGTCAGATAATTAACAGAACAGGTTACAAGAAGACTGCAGTCAAAGTCACTTACAGAGAATAAGTGAGAAATAAAAGTAAAGATTGTGTGTCTTTACAAGATATGTCTATGGAGAGGCCTTTATCTCAAAGGTAAATAGACATTCCAATCAAATAAATACATGAAAACAAAATTATGGCCTATTAGTTGATAGTGATCATTGGAAGGGGGAATTCAGAAAACAGTTAGATTGGTACAAAGTGGAAAATTTTATGAAATGATACTACATAATAATCAGCTTCTTTGTTGGGGGTGAAGGAGCACAATATGATATAATGAATAAAAATATAGCAAGCTAAAACTATTAGTAAAGATCTATTCTTGAAGATAAAATTTCCATATATATATGAATGAAAGGCCATGTCTTTTTTTTATTGATTATTTATTAAAAGATACTATTTAACCTGAGAAAATAAATCCTAAATGGCTTACATTATCAGAAATAGAGCAGTCCCAAACCCGGGCATTATGTCCAAATAAGATAAGGGCAATGGGATCATGGGAGAATGCATGTTCCTTTTCAATAGAAACAGCCCAGACACGTGCACTGCATAAATAAAAGGAGACCAATCATGACATGTGTCATTATCTCTTAGAATGAACATAAATTAGTGATTCAGTAGGACTTGAAAACTAACCCACCTCCGGTCATCAGAGACAGATACCAGTTTAGATCCACAAGTTGACCATGCTATTCGGAAGATTGAACCTTCATGTCCAATAAGTTTACATACATGAATAGCCTCAAACAGTTGATCCTTAAGCTGGAAGCAATCGGAGGATGAAATGCTCTGATGATAATGGTTTTCTCGATGACTTGAAGATTCATTGTGTTGATGGGCCAGTTTCCAAACAATAATCTGCCCGAACCAAACTCTTTGAAGTAATTAAAAGAAGATAGAAACATAAAAAAATTAAACATCAGGCCATGAGAAACTTAAGGAACTTTTAAAAAGGATAATGGCAAGTATTTTATGTACAATAATTTAATGGAGAAAACCAAAGAGATATAGTGCAGAAAAAAGATTCTGCATGTGTGCGCTTCCATAAAAATAACTAATATAATCATGTAGTGTTATATTATGCTTGTATCACAACAGTTGTTATATACTTATAATCCTTGAAGATGACACTGGGATTGGCTTGAACTATTTTGCGTGTTTTTTGCATGAGGTCTTTAGTTCTAGTATGTGGATCAAGCAGGATTCTGTCGACAGTACAAAGATTCTATTTAATCAGTGTTATGAGGGCTTTTCCAGCAACCAACCTACTTGATCTGTAAAAGCTGAATTTAGAGTAACAAATATCAAAGCAAATGGAAGATGATTAGTCCATTATTAGGCATCAAGAACCAATTTCAAGCCAAATAGTAGTAAACATGCTCCTCCGGTGAAGACAAGGAGCAGTTCAGGCAGTGGACTTGGTGAACTTCTTACCATAGGTACCTAAGCTTTCCATGTTGGATTGGAACATGCATTCAGTTTCTACCATTATTAAGGACAGGACGCATTCACCATTATTTACTAAGCAAGAGAAAGAACAAAGGACTGAATTTCATTGGTTAAATGGCATGAAATACATAAGCGAAATTCTTCCGAGACAGATTAGTTAGAGTCGGACTCTGTGTTAGAAAGAAACAATAGAATAATTGCATGGTGAAAACAAAACGTTCAACATCAATAGTAAAGATTAATTATCAGCAAATCTCTCACTCTTAGTTCTCATGATATGTGAATCTCATTGTATTGAACTTAAAAACCAAAGGTTACAAGCAGAGTTATATAGAACTATGTAGAAGAAGAAAACTGTTAAAAGGAAAAAAAGAAACCATAACCAACTAATACAAGCACAAAAACTAACATGTATCTAACCCAAGGAAAAACAATCTACTAATACCCCCTCAAATTGGACTGTGAATGTCACAAAGACCCAACTTGGAAATAAAAGTGTCAAACGACATGTGATGAAGGGGTTTGGTAAAGGCATCAGCAAGTTGGGTTGAAGAAGATACAAGAAGCAGATGAATTATTCCATTTTGAAGTTTTTCACGAATAACGTAGCAATCGATCTCAATGTGCTTGATACGCTCATGAAAAACTGGATTATGAGCAAGGTAAATAGCAAAACGATTGTCACAATACACAGCTGTAGGATCCAAAGGAACATGTAAATCATGAAAAAGATAATGCAGCCATTGGACTTCACAGGTTAAGCTAGCCAAGGCTCTATTTTCGGCTTTAGAGGAGGAACGGGAAACGGTAGAATGCTTCTTGGATTTCCACGAAACTAAGAAAGAGTCAAGGAAAACACAAAACTCAGTAATAGATCGACGAGTATCTAAACAACAAGCCCAATCAGAAACGACAAAGGCAAAAAGACAGAGGTCTGAAAAAGCAGAGAAAAATAAACCTCAAACAGGAGAGCCTTTCAAGTAATGAAGAACCCAAAGTGCAGCTTTATAGTGAGTGTCAAGCAGATTAGCCATATATTGACTGAGTTGCTGGACAGAAAAAGCAATATCGCGTGACAGTAAGATACAAGAGCTTACCGATCAAACATCTGTAGCTAGCAGCATCAGAGAGAGGTTGGCCATGAGTAGCTTGCAATTTGGTAGAGGGATCAAAAGGAGTGGAAACATAATTAGCAGTATGAGGAAGAGATAGTGTAGAAAATTTTGATTGTTGTAAGTAAAATGAATCACTGATCTTGAAGCTTCTTGAGGTTGCAAGGTATTGGTGGCAATTGAATCAGAGGAAAAATCAGTAGTGTTGACAACATTAGCCATGCGTGCAGTGGCGGATCTTGACCATTGATCTTGGGGGGGCCAAATAATATATTATTAATAAATAATAAATAAATATAAAAGGAAGAAAGAATATGAAAGGTTGAAAAGATAAAATTGTAGATATATACTTAAATATATTAAATTATCATTAAGTTTGAGGGAAACAAAATCATAAATTATATGAAAGTTACAAAACTGAGGAGGGACTGGGAGGATAAAATTGTAAATATACAAGTAAATATATTAAATACTCATTATGTTTGGGGGGGCCAAAATCATTAATTACATGGGAGTTACAAAACTTTGGGGGACCATGGCCCCCCTCAACTCCCAAGAAGATCCGCCACTGCATGCGTGTACCTTTAGATTGATACCCTGGGGGGATGCCATATTTGAAATAACATGTATCAACAGTATGGTTAGTTCTTTCACAATAGGTACAAAACTTGGATCCGGATTGACCGCGTCCACCATAAAATTTGTCACGGCCTCGAGAAGAATAATTACCACCTCTGCCACGAAAGATTCTTGAATTGTAATTGTCATCATACTTAGGTTGTGAATGGTGAGTGGCATCGATAGCTAAAGCTTGAGTTTCAAGGGGGATGTTAGAAGTATCAAGAACAAAATGAAATTGTTGTTCTTGTTGAATGACCATATTAAAAACTATAGTAATCTCAGGATGAGATCAAGTAACATAATTTGAGATCTTACTGGAGCATATTGATCATTTAACCCTGTAAGAAAAGGAATCACCTGCTTATATTTTCGAGCAAAAGCAATCACACCACAAGAACATCGAGCAAGGAGAGGGCAAAAAGTATTGATTTCTTCCCAGATAGTGCGTAAGGTAGTATAAAACACAGTGACTGAAGAGGTACCTTTGGTTAATTTGTGCAATTCTTCTTGTAATCCAGCAACACAAAAAAGATCACCCCTATGAAAACGGTGATAGAGATCTTGCCCGAGAGCGGATGCGGAGTCGATCCAAATGATGGATTGAAGAATTGATTCATGTACGGATCGTTGAAGCCAAGAAATAACCCATTGTGTTCCACCAATCCCAAGGCTCATGCAAAGAAGCATCCAGCGGCAGTTCGGGCAAGCTGCCATCAACAAATTTTAATTTTTTCTTGGATTTTAGGACAAGCTTCATAGCACGAACCCATACATGATAATTCTTGCCATCTAAGAGAGAAGATACAAGAAGGAGAGCAGGGTTCTCATTAGAATGGAGAAAGAAAGGATTTGAAGGGTTAGTATGAAAATTGGAATAAGGTTCAGGAGCCATAGAGAAAGGAAAAAAATCAAGAAGGAGAAGAAAGATTTGAAATATCTGATACCATCTTAGTTCTCATGATATGTGAATCTCATTGTATTGAACTTAAAAGCCAAATGTTACAAGTAGAGTTATATAGAACTCTGTAGAAGGAGAAAACAGTAAAAAAGCAACATATAAATCATAACTAACTAATACAAGCACAAAAACTAACATGTATCTAACCCAAGGAAAAACAATCTACTAATACTCACCTCGTTAAATATTGTACCAGATGCAATTCGGAGAACTTCAAGATTGTGACCCCATAATCGCATTGAGTACAGAAGGCACCGTACTTTATTCAACAACAAACATAAACTCATTAAAAAAATCTATCAAAAAACCAGTCGATAGAGTGAAGTTGTAACTAACCTGGAGATTGAACCTTAAGAACCGCAATAGAGTTAGAAATATCCCAAACATGAACTGAATTGTCACTACATCCTACAGCAAGAAAATGACCCTCCACATTGGAATGAGGTAAGCATCCCTACCACGTAAAAAAACGAACACCAGTTAGAAGAACATGCATTCATCATTTCAAAATCGAAATCTGTTAAGCACTTATTCTCACTTACCTCGAGGAAGCAAACATCCAAAACCCAATGACCAAACTTCGGCAGCAAATGAACTAGCGTCAACTCTGCGCTCCCCGAAACGCCATCAAATTCAAAGCTAAAAAGCCTTACTCTCGTTTCCCCAAACACAGCAATCACGGACTCGCGAGGGAAACTAGAAGCGATACCGTGGACGCGAACTCCTTCGAATACAGAGAAAGACCTTATTCTCTTACTGAGTTCCAAATCATACACAGCAATTTCTGAACCCAAACCTGAAGTAAGCGTCCACTAGGTTAAAACAAATGAAGGTTAAACAATGTGCAATCAAATGCTGATAGAACAAAACGGTACCCGCGAGCAGAAGAGGAAGAGAAAGATTGGGAAGGTGGAGAAAACAGAGAGCTGAGATATCTCCGAGGTAGGGGCCACGGTGCATGCGCCATTCCGTCAAGCGTTGGTCCTTCTCTGCCATTGCTCCGTTCGCCGATTCCATTTGGCTCCTTCACCGATGCAGTGGCAAAGTAGGGTTTTAGCATGAATGCATTGAACTCATGGATTTATAAGCTTGCTTCGCGCTGTTTCTTTTTGGTCAAATTAATATGTTAATTCAGAGTTTTTCAAAAAGCCTGTGTGTAGTTGTTGAATTTGTAAAAAATTCTAGTTAAATTTTAACAAAGTACAAAAATTATTGAGATTTCCAATTAATTTACAGATTTATTATTTAGTAAAATTTTCAATTATTTAAGATGAATCCTGCATTTGTATGGAAAATTACAGAATATTAACTAAATATAGAGAATGCATGTAGAGAAATAGTTAAGAACTTTGTAAATTAAATAATCCAAAGGTTGGCAAGTTAATTACAATTTTTATTTAAATATTTTCAACATTTATTTGATATAATTGTAATTCAATAAATCTTTATCTGATTTGTGTGATATTTTAGGCTATTATTTTGTTTGCGAAAGAGAGAGAGAGACTAAAAACAATAGTAAGGTAATAATATTTGAGTCGCTTATATTTGTAAATGTTTAAAAGCCATTTTGGTTTCTTATGAAACTCATTTTCCAATTTGTTCCTATATGGAAAAAAGAAAAAACAGTTTGAAATGAGTCAATGAGATGTAGCGTCTTTTAAAGAATGTGACATTCTATAAAATAAAAAATCTAAATCCATTTTTTATTTATTAAATGGTTTAATATATTCATAGAATTTGAATGGAAAATGACTACAAATTTGCAATTCATCTGGCCATCTCCGGTTAGGAAATGTTTAAAAGTAACTCCAAACAACCTTTTAATTGAAATAGACAAAATATATTAAAAAATACTTTAAATTTGAATAAAATTTGCTTGATAAATCAATCATTCTCCATAATAAAAATATACAGATATATATTATTTTATTATTATATATATTATTTACACGTCGTCTTTTTATAATCAAACCTCAAATTCTTACATCTATAAAAAAATTATAATTCATAATAAAAAATATCAGATCACAATCATTGAAATTAGAAAAATCCTTTCAAAAAATTAAAAAAAATAATATATATATATATATATATATATATATATATATATATATATATATATATATATATATAATGGTGATAGCAGGATTTTGTCTTATCTGCACAGTATTAGTAGGATGTTAAGAAATCCTATTGACTCAATATTATCGGACTTGATGTAAACAAATATTGTAAAAAATATTGTATAATATTTTTAATACGAAAGATACGATCATAGCTCCTGGCTGAATGTATTAAAAATCTAATTATTAAAGTTGATAAGTTATTATTCAAATTTAAAATAAATTAAAAAGCATATAATAATAAAAAGATATAATTTATGCATGTATTATAGGTATGAAACCATAATTAATATTCAATTAATCATATATTTTATTATATATTCGTTGTTTTAATTAATAAAATAAAATTATATAAATAATTTTCAAGTCAATAAATAAATATTATTTTTCCTTTACCGTTTATATCATATTTCATAATATTATTGACTAATAAATATTTTTATTAAAATAATATAAACTATGATATTAAATAAAATGACATATTTGATCTTAATATATTTTAGAGTCCTCAAAATATTTTTAAATATGTATACTTTAAAAAAAATAATTTAAGATAGAAATTCGATCCCAAACGTATTTAGTTGAATATATTTAATAAAATTTTAGAATAAATTACGATGACAATTATTTTTATAATTTTTTTAAGTGTTATTTTATTTTAATATTACATATTTATTTAAATATTATATATTTAATATTATTTTTAAATCAAAATATGTTCTATATTATTAATTAAATATTTTACATATAATATTTAACTAATTATTCATAAAATTTCAATCAAACATTTAATAAAAATATTATTTTTTCTTCATACAAAATATTATTTAATAAATATTATATTGTATAGATCTAAATTAATTATTTATTTACGGTGAGTTAATATTATTAAAATTAAATCTCAATTATTTATAAGACTTTTGTTTTACATTTCTCAATAGATAAGATACCTTTTTATTGATGAAATATAACGTTAAGAACCATCAAATGGCAATGGGGTGGGGGCGGACGGGTTTTGTCTTCTTGAATCCCGCCTTCGACTTTTTTAATTATTCTCGTTCCTGTCCTCGATCCTCGTCGGGATTAGAACTTAAGTTTTCATTCCAGTTTCAGTTGGGTTTCGGGTTTCTGCCTGCATACGTCTCCGATCTATATTATTTTTAAAAAGATAATTACATTTATAAGAAATTAATTTTACTATATATTTTTTATATATAAATAAATATTTATAATTTATAATTATTATTAATTAAATATACATTTTAATTTATTATATTTATATTAAAATATGTATGTAAAAGAAATATTTAATCATTTTTTATTTATAACATTATTATTATTATTATAACATCTGTATTCAAATATTTAAATACTTATAACATTATTATTATAATACTTGTATTCAAATATTTGATTATATATATAAGTTAATTCATTTTTAAGTTGTCATTTAAAAATATGAAATATATAATTTATAAGGAAATATTTAATAAGTTAATTATTATTCAATTAGTTCAAAGTAATAAAAGTTTAAATTATCAATTCCTTTAATAATTTAAAATACAATTATTTTATTAAGATAAAATTTGATATATGATAAATAAGAATAATAAGATAAAAAAAATGACATAATAAAACCTAATAAATATAAATTATAAATAAAATAATATTAGTTACTACTAAGATTTATGTTAAATATTTAGAAAAAGATAAAGAATAAAAAAAATTAACTTTGTGTTTATTAAATTGATTGAAAAGATTGAAAAAAAAATTATGGAAGAGATTAAGAAAATGTTAAAAACTGAAAAGTAAAAGAGATAATAATGTAATAAATTAATTGATATAAAAGATTAAAAAAGACAAAAAAATTAAAAAATGGGTAGAAAAAAAATAAAAAATGGTGAAATATAAAAAAATGACCTTATATGTAATAAAAAAATACTTTTAAAATATTAATATTTTAAAATTTAAATTTAAATATAAATTCGGGACGGGGACGGGGGACGGAACCTAGGGTCGGAGTGGGGATTACATTACTCATCCCCGTTCCCACCCCCGACTTTTTAAAGAGGAGAAAATTAATTTTCATCACTATCCATCGTGAATGAAAGTATTTACTCCATAACACAAGTATGAATCCTAAGAGCAAGAAACGCTGGCTGGTTTGAAACACAGGCTAGTTAACTTGTAGAAGGGATGATTGAAGGTGCAGCTCCATTCTCTGCCAACAAGTATTTTCAATGAGGGAAATGTATTATTTCCCTTCACCAAATTTAGTAACAGTCAATGAATCTGAATAGCACAAAATTTACCGATAACCCCCTTATTCCACCACAATTCCAGACATATTCCTCCAAATCCTGCACGCTTAGGTTGGGCCCTGAACACTGCCATCCACATTTAACGCTATCCCATCCAAAAAAGCATGCTTCCATGAAATCGATTTGGTAATCACTTTTTTAGAAGAAACACAAAAACTGCTAATATTCCATAGCAGTAGCTAGTGAGCAAAAATTTCCCACTTTTTGTAACCACATAGTTACTGCTTAGTCACTCATTCGGCTCCTCCAACTGTGGTCTTTTTTTTTTTTTTTTAATTTCTTTTCCTGTAAATTTTCTTGTTCAGGTCTTCAAAATTCCTCTTTTCTGTACAAAAATTTAAAAAAAATTATACCGTATATTAGGTCCACACGCTTTCCATCTCATATACATTTTTAAACCTTTTAAACCAAGCGGTGTTCGTAATAGGAAAAAAAAAAACAACCTTTTACTGTATTGAATAATTTTAAAAGTACAAATCCATTTGAAGGTGAAAATTTTAATTTAAAACATAGAATATAATTTTGTATTTTTTAAACTATGTTGTAGTTGTATCATTCCAAAATATTTTTGTGTAACATCATTTGTGCAAAATTGATTAATTTAAAATAAACTTCAGTAACTATATATCAGATATATTCTCCATATTATTATTATTATTTTAACATTTCCCAAATTGAATTCAATCTTTACTTAATTTCTACAACTTAAGTGACAAGTAATTATGAATGAATTAAATTCAACACAACTTGATCTTATTCAATCCCTTACTAATTAAGAGACAAATTCATATAATAAATTCGTAACTCCATCCAGCGAAAATTATCAAATAACATTAATAATAACAATAACATATGATTATTATTTAATTATTTTATTAATTAAATATATATTTTAAATTATAAAGTTATACAAGTATTAAATAATATAATATATTTATAAAAATACAGTCTAAAAGTATGATAAAATAATATTTTGAAATTACAAATTTTAAAAAAATAATAATAGATCTGATCAAACCTGCACCCCAAAATACCTGGCATAGATTAATATGTCAAGTCCGGCCTGGCCGCAGAAGGGAATACAATTGCAGTAGACTGCAAATCGCCATGTAAGAAAAGTGCCATTTTCGTACAACGCAACCCTTGGCACCATACTTTTATATGAACACTTGTCTTGTCAAAATCAAAAAGTATACCCCAAACCCAAAAAAAAAACGAGCCCATTCAGGCAACAGCGTTTGGGCATCAACAATAAGACAAAGACATATCCCACGATATACTCGAAATCTACTTAAGTTCGATATAATTAAATATCACTACCCTAAGCTAAAACCAAATTCGTGTCTATATTGCAGTTCGACCATGGCAAACGCTAGCAAGCCAGTTCAACTGCGTTTGATACTTCACGTTTCAAAAATCACGGTGAAGCAAAAATTAGGGAAAAAGTTTATGACCTCCCCCATTTCGCCAAACACCACGCACAGGTGGCCCTCCGTCTCCAGATTCATCCTTGTTAACTTCTGAGCTGTCTGCTGTCCCAGAATCTGATTGATCAAGAAGGGCCGAAGCAGAACCATAATCACCAAGTCGCACTCTAAGGAACTTTGAACCTTTCTTGCGTTGCTTGTTTCCACCACCCCCATCCACTCTAATTTGAGTAGATAAACTGTCATTTGATGTTTCGGTCTTCCCACTAAGCTTCACTGCAGGTTGACTTCCAGAATTTGTATCAATCCGCTGCTCGATTTTTAGTTTGCCTCTGTCACCTCGGTAATCACCCTTTGATAGCACCTCCACCTTCTCTTCTGAAGATTTATAATTTGCTTGTAGCTGATGCACAGTGCTTAAAAAGCTATCTGCTAAATTCGCTGTGGAGTTACTCCCCCTACTATCTACAGACTTACCTTTACCTTTCTTGTTTACATTACTGTCTTTGCGATGGGTGCTACCGCTGCTTCGAACCAAGTTATTTTCCAGTAAAGCGTCTCTTTGCAAACTAGCACTGTAAGCCTCAACAAGCTCTGTCTGCTTCTGAGTATCCGGGCATAGTCTAGCCAAGTCAAGCACAAGATGAGACAAGCCAAACTGCTGCACATAGTCCAAATACGTGCCTGTATCTATTGTACCTTGACGATATTGGGCAGATATGTCCTTAAACATACTGTATCTTTCTTCATCAAAGTCAAGAGCTCCTCGAATCTTTTCAACCAGAGACTTATTGGCAGACTGAAAATTTTCCGCGTTCACTAAAGGCTGGCTGCTAGCAGGTAACTTGCTCACTTGTGAAGCAGAAACAGGAGGAAAATCATATAATGAAGCTTCAACAGAGTTAGTCTCCGTGAGATTTGGAGCAGATGCAGAGTGGACGATTCTAACATTGTCACGTGTGTCCCTCAATGAACCACCGGGTAATTGTCCATGAGCAGTTCTTTGTGTAACCTGAATAGAACCAGCATAAGTTGATGGTGAAAATCCACTGTTAATTACTGTTTTCTTTGTCTGCCCAGAATCACGAGAAAGTCCAAGAGCATTATTTGCCGGTGGTCTAGATTGTGAAGGATTACTTGATGGCTGTACCAGTCCACGACCTGCAGCTGGCCAAGCATTACCAGAATTAATAACGGTTACAGTTCTGTTGCCATGACGACGCAGTCGGGCAGCCATAGAGTTATTAGATGAGCCCTCCAATTCATGTTTGGATCTTTGCTGGCCACTGTTGGAAGTTATGGGTAGTGGTGGAAAGGAAGAATCTTCCAGAGGTCCACTCCTTGAGCTATGCCCCAAGGCCTGAAGGTATCTTGAAGATGCTTCAGAACCAGATGCAGCTAATGATTCAAATGGCTGAATGAGAGAATCAATATCATCATTCCCATCATCAACAGCAACTCGCCCACTACCTGACACCGATTGATCACGATTCGTTTGCTCTGAATTAGCTGTTTCTAGACTCGCTTCAATGGCCATGGAAAGCTGATTTTCAGTGAAATCACGATGAAATGTTCGACTTCTTCCACGGCGTTGCTCGTGTTCATTATTACCATGTCTGTAACGGAAACTAGTTGGTATCTGTAAGGGAAGAATGTAGCTACAGATACATCAATGAGGGAGTGAGGAGAATCTAGGAAGTAATTTGTCATCGGAAAATCAACAGACATGACAAATGAGTTCAAAGAAAAAGATTGCTATTATACATGCCTGAAGAGCAGCATTTCGCTTAGACCTTGACATCCGTCCTCCATGTTCGATAGCATTATGTCTCTAAGCCATAATCAAGGAAAACAATTTCAACAATGACAGAATAATCTCCATAATAACACCAACACATCTAAAAAATTTACAGTAAAAAGAGAAAAATAATCAGCCCCCAAATTCACTGGCATGGAGAATAATTAAGCAGCTGGATGAACAGTATACAGGGACATTCCAAACAAATCAGTAAAAAGAAGATTCATGTGCCATAAATAATCACTCACCTTCATCTCTGCTTCAGATTGAAAAACAATAAATTTCTTAGCAAGGCAAGCCTCATCTTCACATAAGAAGTGCTCATGACGGAAGTGAATCTGCACAAGACATATGTCAATACAAATACTTCCAGTTCAAACGACAGGAAAGATCTTGTAAACCCATTTAGTTAATAAGAGAGTAATAAAAAGACAATGCAAATATCTTGCCTCTAGGTCATCATAATTCTTAAAGTAATCATACTGCCCTGGATGCTGCCTGCATTAAGAAGTACAATATTACAAATCGTAAATTTATTACACACCTATTGGGCATGAGACTAGCTTAGTTGTTACCTTTGGCATATATGACATGTATAATGTTCTGTAGACATATGCATGTATAATTCATTATCTCCATAAAATGGGGTTCTGCAGTATCCACACATTGGATGCCCCGTGAAACCACCTCTCTCACTCTCACTTCCATCCACCTCAGAATCACCTGTGCTAATGTGTTGGTTCAACTGTGCTCTGGTATATAGTTTTTGCTCACATATAAAAACCTATGGCATAGAAATGGTTACAAGTCTCACAGTCAATAAAAAAGATTACATATTATGTTGTCTTAGAAATTCTCATAGCACACATCATAAAATTTTACCTTTCTTCCCTCCAGACACAAACCGCACATATGCAACTTGTGACGGTGAAATAAATGACCCTTCAACTGTCCTATATTCCTAAACTTAGCTCGCGGCCTTGAAGCAGCATCCTGTGGTTGCTCCTCCATCTTGTCACATACACTGCACGAGAGCCTGCACATAGCCTTGATCATCTTGTAATGGTCCACATCATCAAAAAATGCATTTGTATCCTCATGGTACCAATATGATCCAATCTTGCCCTCCCTTACCTCCGAAGGAATGGCAGCAAAGTCATTAATCATCTTCGTATAATCTCCCAGAGCCTGTCAGTTTACAATAAATTCGAACATCGACAGCATCAAAAGATAGCACCGATTACAATGCCGTAATTAACACAAACCCTCCTATCAATGTTGACAGGATTAAAGGCTACAATTTTGAATTAAAACCACAGCTTGCAAACTATGTAAACCAAGTAATGGATTGTTAAATTCAGCGGTTTAGAAACAATATAAAGTAAAAACTTCAAAGACAAACACGCTATTTTGGGTGAATTACAAACTTCAATTATCACACCACGCTTAATTTTTAATCCAGAAATGCAGTAAAAATAAGCTGCGCAAAAAAAATTGATAGTGATCTCAGTAGTAAAAAGTTCACAATATGCCTCAAATTAGGGTTAAACTATACGCTCCAATAACTCGGGACAACTTCAAACTACAGCTAAGAGATGTAAAATACATGTCATAATCGAACACAGCAGTAAGTGTCAATGTGGAAAAGTTAAGATTTTAACTCAATCAATTCAGCGCTCAAAGAATCTTCGACTAGAACCATGGATGTAAAACAATTTCATAGAACCGACAGTTCATAAAAAAAAAAAAAAAAATCCAAGTTAAGGGGGGAAGAAAAAGAGAGAGTTGGGCACAACCTTGGTGACGAATACGCGGTTGCATTCGGTCTTGCAGATGCAACAACGGCGATCGTCGCAAATGAAACGGAGGCGAGCGACACAAGTGGAACACACCTCCCGATGCAAACAGGGTCCGTAGGCGACCCATTCCAAAGGCTCTGCGCAAACAGCACAACAGTCATCCATCTCTTCTTCTCTCCGCTCCTCTTGATTGTTGATTATTGAACTCTGAAAACGTAAACCCTAATTCCAGTGCCCGGATCACGACACCAAGTTAGGTTAATGCGATAAGGAGGGGAAAAGAGAGAGGAATTGGTTGGGATTGGGGTTCTAGGGTTTGAAAACGATTGGGGTTGTGGATCTTAGATTAAGGATTTAAATCTTGGAGGGATGGTTTGCGATGTACGTGGGGCGGAAGAAACTTTTGTCGCGGGGAGAAAGAAGGTTCGGAGAAGGTTGGGATGACCAAGCTATGTCAAAACCTGAGTGCTTCGATGGAAGATGGAAGGGCCATCTATGTTTTAATATTTTAACTTTAATTATGAGAATTTAAAAAGTTTTATTAGTGATTTTTTTTTTCAGGATTATGATTTCTTCTTTGTAATTATAAAAATTATTTATTCCATCTTTTAGTGTAATTTAGTTGATAATGAATATTCTATATATATTTTATATTTCTCGTCTTTCGTTTATGATTTTGGGTATGTTAATTATACCTTCAAAAAATATTGACACCTATCTTATAGTTACTTATAAGCCCTTTTAAAAAATATTCATGTTTTTTTTTTATTATTTGCGGCTATTAACATTTCCATCTGACCCGAAATTAGAAAATTCAATTAAAAAAAATAAAACAAGTAATTGAGTTTAATGAGTTGAAAAAATTGGTTAAAATAAAATTAGGTGAGATTTTGTGTCTATATCTAACTGAAACCCAATATTAAAATTCGTTTATAGTTAATCGAAAATATACAATATTAATTAAAATTTTAACTAAATTTTATTTGAACTTTGAGAAATCCTAATTTATTTTAATTTATAAGAAAACAAAAATTATCACTCTTGTATCTCTCCTCTCCCTATTTAAGTGCCTGTAATCTTCATTCGTATTCAAACAAGTATTTATCCTGTTTTTATGGATTCATACGTTGGAGTTATATAATGATTTTATTCTCTTTGATTTCATTACAAAGTGAATATTCATTGATTTTGTTTAGTTGTGATGCAATTTTTTATTTATTTATTAAAGCACAAATTGGAGATTATGTTTATATGTAGTTAAGGACTATATTATATATGAATAAGGAATTAATTACATCTCTAAGAATTAACTTTTTAGAGTTTCAGTAAACTTATATTTAAATAATTGATTAACTATTATCTTAATAATATCTTAAATGAAGATTTTTTAAATAATTATAAGGAAAAACATAGGACATATGAAATGATGTGATTGTTTGTGCATATTATTTTTCTTTATCATTTTTAATTTGATTTTTTCATATTTTTAGTTGTTTTAAACATACCACTTGTAATTTGGTAGCAATAATCAATAAATATGATTTATATATTTTTAGTTTAAGACTTGTAATTTAATAGCAACGATGAATGATTATAATTTGTATATATATTTGTATTTTATACTTATCTTAAGTTTTAAAAAATATAATAAAAAATTATAAAAAACTATTATCTTAAGTTTTAAAAAATATAATAAAAATTTATAAAAAACTATTAATTTAATCCCAAAAAATTCAACCTGATTAATTTGAAGATTCCTATGGTTGATGTTGAAACATAATATTTTCTTAACTACAGAGTTTAAAATCAAGAGCTACTTAGACCTAATTTATGAGTATATATATATATATATATATATATATATATATATATATATATATATATATATATATATATATATATATATATATATATATATATATAAATTTACCTAGTTATTAAAAAAAATACTATATTCGCATATATTAAGAATTCTTCATTCCTCTTTTGACAAAGGATATCCCACAGAATATAGAAGTTATTTATTGTTACACTTGTAACTTTTCTTTTTACTTATTTTTTTTAAATTATTTTAAAATTCAAAAATATTGATAAACATAATAAAATAATCAAATTATTGGGATAAAAATATTTGATTAGCTAAATTATAAATTTATATAACGATATAAAATATTATATAATTAGAACTTCTTTTATTTAGTCATAATTTATTGGAGTAAAATACTACCTGTGTACAAAAATAATATGAATAAAATACTTTTTCTTTCTAAATCCTTTGAGATCTTAATTGGAGAGATGACAGAAAAATTAATTACAAGTGGTTGTTCAATCTGAAGGTGTCTTCAATGTAGGCATCATCCTAAATGAATCTAATGATGACGTATGGTCACAACTAATGAAGATGCACATTGTAGAGAAGAAAAAATTATCCTACATCCGTGAGAAGGTAAAACCTCCAACAAAGAAATATGAGGGATATGAAAAATATGAAGCCAGAAATCATAAAAAGGTATCTTCGCTTACCCACTGCCCTTGATATTTGGAATACTTTGTCAAAGACATTTTATGATGGAAATGATGAGTTACAGGTATTTGCCCTGAATCAAAGGGCATTAACTGCAAAACAAAATAATAGAACCTTAACTAAATATTATGAGGAGTTGGTTGAGATTTTTAGGGAATTGGATCATCGTGACAAAGTAGTCATGAATGACCCTGATGATGTTAAGTCATATCAGAAGTTCATTGAAAGATTAAAGGTGCATATATTCCTTGTTGGACTGGATGATGATTTTGAGCAAGTTTGTGGAGAAATCTTGCTCAAGAAAGTGACACCTGATTTAGAAGAATGTTATGCATTGATCCGGAGAGAAACAGTCTGACGAACAATATTGAAAACAGAAGATATGATTTTTTATTTCACAGCTATTATGACAAAGAAACAGTCAACAAATTATTACAACAAATCGAAATAATTTTTTTTTTTTGAAAAAGGTAACTACAAGTGTACTAAGTGTAATAAGGATGGACACACCAAAAAACGATGCTATGAAATCATAGGATACCCCAAGTGGTGGGATCACAATTGAGCATCGAAGAAGAATTCAAAAAGAAATTCAACTGCTGCTATTGTAACTGCCATTGATAAGAGGACAACAAAGACATGATGCATGCTACAGTCGTAGGTAGTGATGATTCCAATGGTAAGACTTTAATATGCACATCTACTGTTCTGAATAATGCATGGATAATTGACTTTGCGTGTTCTGATCATGTGACTTTTGATGTTAGATAAATTAAAAATCTTAAACCTTCTTCACAAAAAAGTATTTCCACAATCAATGGTAGTAAATCCACTATTATTAGAGAATGAACTGTCTCTATTTCAAACAATTTGAACCTTGATATTGTCTTTGTTGTTCCTTCTCTTAAATATAACTTATTGTCAGTCTCGCAAATAACCAAAGCTCTTTTATGTGTTATAATTTTTTAGTCTGACTCTTGTGTTTTTAAGGACATTCAAACAAGGAAGACGATTAGTTGTGGTATTAGGCGAGGAATGTTGCATTACCTGGACCTGACAGAAAAAAATTCAAAGAGACTTGGTCAAGTGCTAGCAACAAAAGGGTCTCAAAAAGTAAGAAAATGCGAAAATATTTGGTTATGACATAAGCATCTAGGACATGCATCTTTTGGTTACATAAAGAAATTATTTTCAAATGTATTTGATCAAGTAAACACTTCAACTTTTTATTGTGATGTTTGTGAGCTTGCAAAGAGTCACAGAACATATTTTTCTTTAATGTCAAATAAAAATCCTCTTCCTTTTATGATCATTCACTCTGATGTATGAGGTCTATCTAAGGTTACAACGTTGGGTGACTCAACGTGGTTTGTAACGTTTTTTGATGATTATACTCGAATGACTTGGTTATGTTTGATGAAGTCAAAAAGTGAAGTTAGAGGACTATTTTAGAAATTCTGCAAAATGATTGAGACTCAGTACAAAGCACAAGTTCAGGTACTACGCAGTGACAACAGAGGAGAATATATGTAATTAGAATTTCAACATTTTTTAGTAGCTAAAGGAATTGTTCATCAGATGTCTTATCGAAATACTCCACAACAGAATGGGGTGGCAGAACGAAAGAACCGTCATATATTGGAGGTGGTCCGAGCTGCACTGATTGGAGCTCACATGCCAGTAATATATTGGGGAGAAACTTTCACATATACAGTATACACTATCAACCGAACACCGTTCAAGTCTCTTGAGTATAAAACACCTATTCAATCACTTACAGATGTAGTAGTAAGTCCTAAAATTGTTAAACTAACATATAGAGTTTTTAGTTCTGTTGCTTATGTTCACTTACACAAACATCAGAGAATTAAGTTGTCTCCTAGAGCTGAAAGGTGTGTGTTCCTTGGCTATGCAGATCACCAGAAAGGATATTGGTACTACAATCCACAAACCAAGCAAATGTTTACTACTATAGATGTAGTTTTTCATGAAACCTTGATATATTTTTCCCCGAGTCTGAAATTCAAGGGGAAAATTATGATGAAGTTCAAACTTTTGTTCCTAAAAAAATTAATATTGAGGTCAGCTTGGAGAAAGAAAGTTACAAAGTTGTATCAGGAGATGATGAAAGTGTGCAACAATGTGATGATCAACAATCACATAATGAGGAAGATTTTGAGCATGTTGAGATAAAAAAATTTCCTGTTGATGCTAATGATATACCACACCAATCGTCCCCTCAAGAACTTAATATAGAAAGAAGAATTCTGTCAGATCATGTCACTAGAGGTATCCCTAAGCCTACTTATGATCCTGACCTCACTAGTAAGACAAGATACCCTGTGAGTAATTATATTTGTAACCAGAATTTGTCTAACTCAAATATCGCATTTATAAGTCAATTATCTACTGTATCTATTCCTAACAGTGTGTAGGAAGTTTTAACTGACTCTAGGTGGAAGGATGTTATGAATAAGGAGATGAGATCCTTGCAAAGAAATAAAACATGAGAATTGGTAGATTGTCTATATTGGAGGTGGTCCGAGCTGCACTGATTGGAGCTCACATGCCAGTAATATATTGGGGAGAAACTTTCACATATACAGTATACACTATCAACCGAACACCGTTCAAGTCTCTT